TTTCTGTACAGCCAATGCGAGGCATGCAACTTCCTTTTTCTGCCTCTCGCCTTTGTCTGGATCCGCCATTGGCGAGGTTTGACGATGCCGGAGTTTCCAGATGCCTGCCGTCTTGCAGCGGATTTTTCCCTCCTTCCTTTTCTTGCCGTTCTTCTTCCTTTTTTTGGTGCCTGGCCCATCTTTGTTAGTTCAGGCCCCTCCGTCCCTACTAGGCTTTCTGTAAGATCTTAGTGTAGACTGGGGCCTCGGGCCTGGATTCGTTTCGTGTTCCGCCCGCTCCAGTCCGTTTCGGGCTAGGATACGCGTGACCAGATGCGCTGTGCTGGAACAAGTTTCCCAGATCTCTGGTTTTAGAGCTAAGACTGGTGAAGAACGAAAAAGAATGAACACTATCCCGTTTTACCCACGCTTAGAAATTACCAACATAATCCCCCTCGCCGACCTTGTTTAGAAATGAGACGACATCCTATGCCCACTTGCAGCATCTCTGGCATTACCAAGAATTCTTTTAGCCGTCGTCCTGTCCAAGAAAGAGCCCACGTGCTCTAATACCACTTCTGGCGAACAAAACCTCAGCAGGGGTGTGTGGGGTGTTCCAAAATTCGAGCTGCAGGCGACGAGAGACAAAAATGTGACAGAAATTATAAAGTAGTACTCGTACAGGGACGGGTTGTGATTTGACATACGAAGTATACAAGTACTATGGGTAGGACGGACATGGGGGGCGTCTGTATGTGTGTGTGTGTGTGTGTGTCACGGCTCATGCACAATGAGTTTACTTGGTCGACTAGTACTAGTCCCTCCCCACACCGAAACCGGCACTAGTCCCCTTTCAAACTAATCCCCAGTCCAAAGAGAAACATGTCAAACATGGAAGACAAAAGTATCGGCGGAGTACTTGGCTAATTTCGCCCAATGTTATCGCCAACATATCTGTCGACACCTGGATGGCGGAACTTAGGATCGATGCTCCGCCTTAACCACAGGGATGAGGAATGGCAAGGTCAGGAATACTAGAGGCCCGATCGCTTATCGCCCATGGCCCGAGTGTGGCGCAATCCCAGAATCGGAAAATTGGCGCGAAGAAAACAGAAGGTTGGAAGGCTGGCCAGTCAACTGTCCCCGATCGACATGGCGTTCAACAACCATCGTCCATCTCACTCTCTTCGATACACGATTTTCTGAATAGATTCATCTTTACTCTTTTTTTTTCCTTCCTTCCTATCGCTCGGAAATTCCATCCGGAACTAGATACAATAACCGGTTTCCTTTACCCTGTTGCCGAGGGCACACTCAGCTCTACCTAGCTCGGCTCTCACTAGAATCTAGGCTGGTATGTAAGGGAGGGGGACGCGGGAAAGGTAAGATAAGGAAAGATGACATGTAGATAGATCAATTGATAAATTTAGCAGGCACAAAAACGGTGAATACACACCCGGGATGTACCTATGCATGGAAATCCCACTTCTCCAGTGAAGCTACTCCTCGTCGACGCGAGAGACTCGAGAGACTGTGCTGATTGTTGGCTATACTGGAGCCATGTGATGGGGCCCTTCCTCGGAGAGTGGTGCGAATGACTGTTTTTCTCCTCCGTACGTTCTCATCGGCGTGCGGGGAAGGCAATCTTCAACGAATTTGAGCTTAGCGCCCTCGTTCTCTTGGTAGGTTTACTGATCTCTCTCGGCCGGGAGCCTCGGCCGTGGAGGAACTCCGATATCACGGAAATGGAGATGGGCATAAATATCTTGATTACATGGGAATAATGTCTGGGGCCCATATCGCCCTCCCCAGGAGTAGCCACCGAAGAGTCCAGTATAACGAGGCAGGCAGGCGTGTTTCATTATTCTTAGCTAGGCGATCCCTTGTGCTAGCCTTGCCATACTAGGCCATTAGAATCATCACATAGCTGTTTCCGTTTTCTTCCCACGGCTTATATGACAGATAATCAAGTTGGGTTTGCTCTACTCTCACACATTGGACATATGCGTCCCTTTCGTGAAACAGCAAGCCATGTCTACCACGGTAGCAAGAACCTTCTTATGCGTCTTGGAACTGGAATTCCACATGCTCTTGACGTTTCCGAATCTAGTGGACACTCCTTCCTCATAATTCTCGCAGGCCTCAGCAGAACGTCTCCTAACCCAACAGGAAGGCGAAGAAGCCGACTCTCTTACAGACTCTCCATGAGGATTGGCTCGTCTCCCGTCAATCCTGCCTCCTTCAATCTTTCAGCCCTTATCTCCAGGTAAGCCGCGTATTCAGCCTTTGGAACTTTCCCCTCCGCATCTTCCCATATCTCATACCGAACCGCCTCCCACACTTCTAACTGCTCCCTAAAGTTCTTATTCGGCTTTATCCGCCGCTTCTCCTTCACAAAGTCCAAGGCCTCATCCACACTCCAATTATAAGTCCTCATAAGGTAAGCGATCAAGCCGGTGGCAGACCTCGACACACCCTTGTAGCAATGGACAAGCACGTTAGAAACGCCAAAAGACTCCCTATTCAAGTGGCCGTGGATGAAGTCGCAGATATTCGCCATCTCAGGCAAAAGGTCGTGCGTCATGCTGTCCTTGCAGGGGATGAAGAGATGATTGCCCTCGTTGATGATGTTCTTGTACCATCCCGCTCCCCATTGAGCATACCGGTAATCCAGAATCGATACCACGGCGGTGATGTTGTTCTCCCGAAGAACATTACCTCGATGAGAACTTACGCAGTCGCCGAGATAAAGGCCTTCTTTGATCTTGGAAAGGGGCGGGTTTCTGTTCACTTTTGACTGAGCGGAGGCGGAATAGAATAAAGGAGATCGGGACAAAGGTATGCATTCTTGGACCTCTGTGGATGGCGGGTTTTCCTGGGATTCTTCCGGTGCGTTGGAGACTTGAGGCGCTGGATGATTCTCTTTCGATCCTGGCTCCATCATAGCTGTATAGAGTAGAACCGGAGGTGTTGTATTGAATGATGAAGATGATACCTTGAGCCTTCAAGGGCTGAATGATAGGCACCCGTCTGGTATTGTGAAGGCGTCGTGTGAGAGTTTAGTCGTAGTCGCGGTTGTGAGAGGGGTAAGAAACAAGGTTGTTCCAACACGCCAAACAGTTGGAGATGGGCTTTATATTAAGACGTCGTTACACATACTCACCGAATCATCCTTCACTGGGCTGAATCACGGAATCGTGTAGATGCCCAATTCGTTGTTTTTGCATATGATTTCTTTCTTTTCTCACTTTTTTTTCCTTTCCTCTCTTTTTTTCTTCTTTTCGTTTCGCACCCTTTCCCTCCTCTTCCTTCGGGAGAGGAAAATAAAGCGACCCCATGCATTGTACCCCGCGGTATTGTCCAATTTGACACTTGTCAGACCTTGGTTTGTAGTCTCGGGAGTTTTGGGTGTGACAATATCGTCGCCTTTGCCAGTCGACATACGCATCCTCAAGCCTCTGACCCATACCGACTAGCATATTATATCTTTCGATGATGCTGCAATCTATGGGGCATGCGGTCTCCCAGCAAGTATGTAAGGGCTAAGGATGGGGATGGGAGTCAATATCACGAGCCTATAATATAAACGATCGAGGTCAGTGGGCCGCAAAATTCTTCTCTTCTCAACTGTCGGTCCTTTGTCTTTTACTGTTTCCTTCGGGGGAAGAGGTGAGGTCGGCTGAGGTCCGATCTTACTTTCGGTGTGCAGAGATCTGAGATCTACATCGGGAGCCGGGTCAAAGTGTGTGGGGTGAGGCGGCACTTCCCTTCTTTCCCTTCTTGGATTAGTTGTTGCGGTATAATGAAAATAGTCGGTATGTAATGAGTTCCACAACATTCTCCGCTACAAGTTCAAAGTACCCGGTAGCAACGCGGCAAACTCCGTTCATTTGTCACCCTGAACCTACTGAAACTTCCCCAGTTCACATCAACTGGCCGCACATGTTGTGCCGAGTTGTAGGATCATTGGTCATTTACGTGGATGTCCTCACAGGACACCACGGTCCAGTGGTCACGGTGTGTTAGAACACTTAGAACACAGAAAGCGTCATACTACCGTATCGGCTAAGGCGGAGCTGTCCATTCTACCGACTAGCGTCATCGATGTCGGCCTCGAGGGCAGACACCTAACGAGCCTTCACATCTCGGAACCTGGAGAGAGGGGGAGGTACCTGACACTGAGCTACCGTTGGGGCGAAGGTAACGACGCCGCGATGACTACGGTGCACAATATTGCAGCTCGGACGGAGTGGGGTGGTGAGCTTCATGGTGGGATTTGTTGAGGGATCTGCGTTTATAGGACCTGTGCTGCCGGCTCTGTTGGCGGACGGAGGAGGACCTGAGAGGGCACCATTGGTGAGGGCGGAAGACATTTGTGCTTGGCGGTAGGTGGAATGGATGTGGTTGAGGTTTTGGAGCCTCTGTACATTCTGCTCGCACACCCTGTCTCCAGCTCAGCAACCATGGCTGGCAGCCAGAATCTAGGCTCCTGAAGGTTCATATAACTCCATTTTAACTGTGCTACAAGGCTCATGAAGGACTTCAAGTTCTCCAAGGCAGCGCAGTTCATTGGAGCAGCAATGAAAGAAAAGCACACTATCATCGAGAAGTGGCCGTTCAGATTGAAGCTCGAGCTGGTCAGCCCGGAGCCCAGGAGGAGTTTGACCGGCTGCTGGGTGGGGGGTTGCCAGGCAAGGAGCGTTACGTGGAGTGGATCGTCTCTAATCGCAACCGGACTGAAATTGAGGAGCGGCTAGGCCTGGCCGCAAAAGCACCCTTATCCCGAAGCCAGCTCTTGCTAGGACTTTCCGGCACAATGCATAACTTAATTCCTGCTCAATTAACTGGGGCTCTAAGTGGCGATTCCTGTACCTCTGTCCTTCAACTTTTTTTTCGACTTTTTTCGACCTTCGTCTATTCCAACACACAGTCGTGGCAGCCGCTGGAGAGCCTCTCCCTCCCTCCTCTCGGTACCTCTCTCTACCTTCTCTACCTTCTCTACCTCTCTCTCCGCCTCCATCATGCCACTCTCACGACTCGACCTCCCCTATTACATCTTCGGCGTGGTTGAGCCAACTTTACAAATCCTTGGTTTTGTCGTCGGCTCCTTCGCCCCGCAATACTTTGCCCTCACCCAGGCGCCGTTGTTAATCTCGCATAGCCTACTACCATCCGAGAAGATTCTCTCATATCAGCTGGGCTTCGGGTCTACGACCAAGCGCCGCACAGCGCGGCACAGCGCGGTACACGCTATACTCTCCGTCGTGATCAAGGATGGAGATGACCTGGCGGCCATCCACAAGACGAGGATGGCCGAATTAGGCAGAAGCGTGTCTGCGCCGTTGCAAGTTGTGATTGATGACTCTGTACGTCTCCTCAAGGACTACATACAGGCAGAGTGCCCACCAACGTTTGTCGCCAGTAGGCTCTAACATCTCTAGGCCGGATCGGCTGACGTCACCGTTTACTCCATAGTCCCTACGGAGGCCGCCTACCGTCGCAATGTTCTAGGGCAGATAACCTCAATTCGCCGACCTCTTTATTGTCGCCGAAATCGGCGAACATACCCGGTCAGTAGGGTTCAGAGCTGATGGAAGGAGGCGGAAGAGCTGGAGAAAGAGTCGAGGTGAAGATCAGTGTCATCCTCGTCCCGGTTGTGGGTGAGAATATTCGCCGGCTGGAGGTCTCGGTGCCGAACTGGTGGACGAGGGCCGCGCAATTCTCTGTATACATCTCCAGACCCTATCAAACCTTTCATCGTTCACATCGAACTTACACATCGATGAGTGGCTACCTTGCATAGGCATGACTTCCTCATGAACGATCATCATAAGAGCGGAAGTCTTGCTGACAACCTTAATTATATATGCGTTAGCAGCCTTGCGCTGTGCGACATATACCGGGGAATCGGTGTGTATAAAAAAACCAACCACATTGTTCTGTCCGCTATCACCCTCCGCCTGATAAAAGCTGATAAAGTCATATTTGGGTGCGATTGACGTGAAATCTCGTGACAGATACCGCAGATCTTGCGAGTTGCGTTCCAGCGTTTCGACGAGGGGCGCCTTGTATTTCGCCCGGAATACCGGCGCTTCGACGCCCGCCACGAATCTCCACCACTTGGCACTGTCCATGCCAAAGTGTGGTGTGCCGAAGAAGACAACGCCTCTGGTGCGGTCAGCAATGTCACTAAACCGTCTTTTGTTGTTTGCGGTTGTCAAAGCCTGGGTTAGACGAAAGTGTGTTAGCCCTTAAGCGGCCGCAATGTCGAGACTGCTACAGCCGAGCGACGACCAGACCTGTTTGATGATGATCCCTCCTAAGTCGTGTCCGATGAAGACAATTGAGGGATCGCTATCATAATCCTCCCGTTCGTCGCGCAACCACGCCAGTAATTCCAAGGCAATATCCCGGACTGTTGCAACAGAGGTATTACCAATAACCCTCGCGTCGTACCCGAATGTCATAACCTGGGTATTAGGCAGCTTGCGAGGGAGCAGCTCTTTAAGCCACAGAGTTTCCGCTCCCGTCGGCGACACGCTCGTCCAGCTGCCGAAGGGGTCGCCATCGAGTCCGTGAACAGCAACAATCCTGCGTCACCGGAAGGATTTCTGTTAGCGGCAGGTCGGTGAAGCCACAGGGCCGGAAAGTGTGTTCTTACTGGAGGGTGGGCTTCCCATGTTTTAACTCCCAATCGGGAGTCGGTGATGGGAAGGTAAACAGCCCCGTCCTTGCTGGTGTTGCGGCTGCACGTTCTGCGATCTTAACCTCGCCCCCTTGGTTGACCAGAAGCCTCATCACTCTTCCTAGCCACCTATTCCTTGCTGGTGGTGCTGCGGCTGCGCGCTCTGCAATCCTGCACTCGCTCCCTCTTCGGTCAAGCAGAAGCCTCATCACTCCTTCTCCTAGCCACTTATTCGCTTCTGCTGCTTCGATCACACGTTCAGTGATCTCAACTTCGCTCCCTCCTCGGTCGAGCAGAAGCCTCACTAGTCCTTCTCCTTGCCAGTTATTCTCTGCTGCCGCCACAAGCACGTCTTCGGTGATCCTAACCTCGCTACCCCTTCGGTCCAGCAGAAGCCTCATCACACCCTCTCCTCGCCACCAATTTCTTGCTGCTGCCACAACCACGTCCCCTGTGACCTTGACCTCGCTCCCTCTTTGATCAAACAGAAGCTTCATTACTTCTTCATCGAGCGATCCCGCAATTTTGATCGCTTCTTTCCCCGCCACCTGTGTGCCGTCCCCTCTCCATTCGAGGATGCTCATTATTGCCCTTTGTTTCTCCGGCCTTAGAAGGCCCTGATCTCTGTATGTCGATGCCAAGACGGTCCTGCTTCTTATTGTGTCTGGATGATCTGTGCCCTGCGACCGTATTCTTGTCTGAATTACTTGCTCGAGTAACGCCTTTGCCTCCTCCCATTTCTGCGCTCCCCTGTACACTGCCGCGAGCTTATCCCTGGCTGCCAGCGTACGTGGATCTTCTTCTCCAAGCTCCCTGTGGTATCCTTCCACTATTTCTCCGAGTATCGCTTCCGCCTCTTTATATTCTTCTCCATCTTCCAATATTGATGCCACAGAGCATAACCTGGTCATCTTATCCAAGTATCCTTTTCTATCTCCGCCCGAATGCTCAGATGCCCGACTTTTCATCAATGCGTCGTATTGTCTTCGATCCTGCGACTCTCCCGGAGCCTTCTCCCAGTCCCAGAGGAGAAAGAAGTCGTGGGGGAACTTTGTTATTGGCTGTTCCGGCTGAAGAGAAGGGGCTGTGATCATGATGATAGAAAAGTGATCCTTGCATAGCCTGATGACTGTGGGGTTTGTAGCCCCACGCAGCAGGCAGACGAGGTCACCTACCTCGACGGATTTCGCCAGCGGTGGGAGAGTCCATCTCCTCTCCGCTCCCAAGTGCCCAGATGCATCTTTTAGAATGACAACCACCTGCTGTCGGTCGTCCCGATCATAGTACTCCGTCGAGGACACTTTTCCGAGAATAAAGCCTTCGCCCCTGATTATAGCAATCTCCGTCTCGAGCCAGGTCTCTATGGATACCTGCTCACCGAGCAGGAACGCTATGATTCGTTTCAAGAGTATCTCCCAAGGGATTTCGTAGTCAGGCAATATATCAGCTACGGCCAGATCGTCGGAGCTCATACCGAGCAAGGCGAATACCTTGTCGTGGCGGACAGTAGCCTTGCGGGAGTGGTACATGTCTACCAGCTCGCCCATGGGGCGTATGCGTAGGGAGATCTGACCCGACGAACGCGGTGTGTTTTTTGGCCGGAATACTGCCCCTCTAACTAAGTAGGTTATTGGGCGAATTAGACTACGCAAGTCCGGAGAAGCTTCGTAGATGCAGTCGAACGATCTCGAGTTCAAGCCTACGCTAAATGCGTATCCATCGATCTCGGCAAATCCACACTTGATGAGGATATTTCGAGCGGCGGCGACCTCCTGAAGTACCTAAACGAAACTTGTCAGTCATGCACACCGATGCCACCAAGTGCTTGGTCCTCTTACCCAGATACGCTCGAACCACGGCCGCCGAAGGAGTGCGAGGATTACCTGTTTGGCGGCCGGTTCGCCGACCGAGGTCTCGGGCGGTATCTCGTCTGCAGCAGCAAGACGTATTTCTTCAAGCGCCCGATCGCTGCCGTCTTCCGCCCCTCCCAGCCAAACAATCACACGGCTCGCTTTGCTATATATTTCGGCCATGTACCGAATCTGCTTTCCCTTCTCCCTGTCGTCTCCTTGGTTGATGCAGATAGCATCTACCCATATGATCCGTTCGATGAGTCGATCCCGAAGACGTAGCAGTGCTGCGTGGAGATTTGCTGTAACAGGGAAGGCGCATCCGTCGATGGAGATGCAATGACTTTCGTCTGGGCAGCCCCATACGTAGGATAAAGCTTCGTACGGGCATGTCTCTTCACCTGACTCTAATAGGGGGTAGCTGAAAAGCTGGCAACGTATACGAGCATTCTCATCTGTATGAGGCATTAGGCGAAGCAGGCGAATGCTGCCGGGCTCCAGTAAAGGGGGATGGCAGTATTTCCTCTTCAGCTGATTATTAGAGATATTCCGGGGTGTCCGTGACGTGGAAGAGCCGGACATACCTGTCTCCCTGGCTCAGCTGGTCCCCCGGAATCGCTCCCACAGAATTTGCTTAATGGCGCCGCGTCGTACGCTTTCACTCGAAGAGCCTGATCTTTGAAGCTGTCAGGCGCTTGGTCCGTAGGTTTGTTGTATGGAATAAGGGCGATGGCTGTCTCGGCTCGTGCTAGGGGTTTGGGGGTTGGGCGCACGTTAGAAGTGTCAACGAAGTTGATATAAGATGCGTCTTTAACGGCTCCCTTGGCTCGCACGATTCCTCGATCATCGGTTGGAACCATGGCTCTCGGTTTCCCAGGATAGATCTGGTCAACGGGCCTCGAAGTTGACTAGGACGGTACTCGGGAAGATGAACGCTACCGCGACGGCAGCGACGACGAGAAGTTGACAACTGCATTCCGCGCGGGTTTGGGCTAAAACGCCGCAGCTGGCTTGGTTGGGCTGTCGATCGCCCAACAGAGAGCTGTGGCGGCGCCAATTGAGCGAATGGCAGCAAAGATACTGCCACTGAAAATCTACGTGCACCGTGGACTTGCAGATTAGTTCTAGTTAACTAGTTCGAGCCGCACATGGAATTCTTACGCAGAATGTCACCATCTGGAGACGAGGGCAACTAGCAGGGCGACAACGCTTTCATACATGCGGCTGCGGTGACGGCTGCGTATAACTGCGTAGGGCCGCCGCCATGCCTTGTTCGTACGGCTGCCGACGTGGTCTCAGCCGGCCTTGAGCCGGCCGTCATCGTCTCCGGTGGCCGGTCGAAGAGCACGTCGGCAGCGTCGGCTTCGAGAGGCAGGGCGCATATAATGGCCATGTTAAAGTCGCGACGCGCGCCAGGGCGCGGAGGCGGCGAAGAGAATGGAAGCCAACACTTGCTCAGCTAAATTTATTGAGGTCCATCCACACAAGATGCATGTCCATCCTCTCGGTGACGAAGATCTCTCTGTCTTCTCACTGTATATCATTGTTTGTAGGCCTCTCCTGTGAATGGGAACGAGCCAATCGCGCCTATGCCAGCCCAGGGCGAAAATCTCTGGTTGATGCAGGTTGTATGTGCATGACCTCCAGCAACTACGCGAGATTGAATGAACGATGCTCGACAGAAGACAACTTGAGCAGGTTTTGAGAATAAGAGATATTTACATATTTGAGCTATTGGTAGTGAAAGAAAGGTGGTTACAGTAGGAGTGGGGGGTTAGAATGCTGCCTAATGGGGCTTATTCTACTTCGTAGATTACAAGCACTTGGGTGAGCCGGAGCTACAAATATTACCCAGTTTCGTTCTTGGATCAGTTGTTGCGGTATAATGAAAATAGTTGGTATGTAATGAGCCCTACAACATTCCCCGCTACAAGGTTCGAAGTACCTCGTAGCAACGCGGCAAACTCCGTTCATTTGTCACCTCGAACCTCCTCAAACTTCCCCAGTCCACATCAACAACAACTGATCTCAGGCCTGCCCTTTCCCAAACAACCTTTTTGACAGCGCCCAAGTATACAGAACCAACTCGTTCCGAAAGGGAAAACACTCGTGATTTCCGCGCAGAGTCAACACAGCCTCGTGTGTTTTTTTTGCCTCTGTTCGATTCTCAACACCCGAACCACCACTGCCACTGCACACTCGCTGGGAACTCACAGGAGGAGGAACAATACGTCAAACACACCCCGCCCTGTTGACTCAAACAAAAACAAATCCCACCCGGAGTCGACGCACGCCACCGCCCCCAAAACAGCTCAACAAACTCCCTGAGAAGCATCGTTCGGACACCGCAAACATGAATCCCCATCAGAAGAACAAGGTTGACGTCAAGGTTCGTCGAGATGCCCTTTCCCTACCCACTTCGAGGCCCCTCGTTTCCCTCAAGGTGCTTTGAGCTACACACAACCCCGCTTCAGTCTCGGCCCATGCCTAACCTGACACTCTTTCCCTTCACCCATCTTCATCACCGCCGATTTTCCCACTCTTACCCTCCCCGTAATTTCGTCCCCTCTTTTCAGATTAATTTCTCAATAGGATCCCCCACCTGCTAACTCTTCAACAGTCCCTCTCCCCCGAGGAACAGCGCCTCTTCCGCCTCTACGGCAAACTCCCCTCCCGCTCCGACCACTTCGCCAAGCACCTCAAGGAGCGCAAATACTTCGACTCGGGCGACTACGCCCTCTCCAAGGCCGGCAAGGCCGATTCCGTCGACACGGGCTCCGTCGGCTCCGAGCACCCCGTCCCCGAGAACATCCCCCACCTCACGAGCCCCGTCAACAACAGCGGGCCCACGGGTCACATCCTCAAGCACACCGGCGCTGGTATACAGGCGGGCAGTCCCGTCAAGGAGAGCAGCTTTTTGCATCGGGAGACGAGCGCCGAGGATGTGGAGGCCGAGGAGGGGAAGGAGAATAAGGCGGTGCCGGTTGGTGGGGTTGTGAAGTCGTTGCCTGTTAGGCGGTGATTTTGGGGGTTGAGGGGAGGTTGAGAAGGGGGGGAGAAGGTGTTGATACCTTGAGGATGAGAGTTCTATTTTCTTCTTCTTCTTTTTTTTTTTTTACTATTGTATTGTGGGATTATGGATTGGGCCTGGAGCTTTCACATGTATTCTTGTCTCCGTCGCCCTGCTTTTCGCTTTATTTCCTTTGTCGATACTCTGTCATGGCTGTTTTTGATCTTGAGGCCGAGGCAACCCTACTCCCCTCTAACATTCTGATATGAAGCCTACGAAAAGATGCGAGTTTGTTGGCGTTTAGGGAAAACCGCTATGGAATGAATGGAATCGAAGAAAGAGAGAGAAAAGAACAGAAAAAGAAACAAAAGAGAGAAAGAAAAACCTCCCCAAAAATATGAAACGATTTTATCTCCCCAGAAACAATGAGCAAGGAAATGGGTGTTTTTTATCGTCGTCGCTGGCGCATAAGATCAAATGGGAAACGATGAGCGAAGCAGCGAAGCATCTTGGAAGCGCTTCATGAACGTCAGATTGCGAAAGACCTGAACTTCTCCCGTCCCCTTCAGCAGGCGACCTTGTCTTAATTTTTCTTCTCCTCTATCTTTTTTTTTTTTTTTTTTTTTTTTTTTGTCTCAGGTCGGTCAGGTTCGGAGTTCTTCTGCTTTGGCTCGGTTTGAAAGGAAATGACGGCCTCTCAGATCGCAAGGGCCATTCTTTTCCCCATCGAATATCTCCGGTGGAAGTGTATGTTTATGACTCTTTTTCTGTTCAGATTACAATGGAAACAATTATATTCCCAAATTCCAATTCCCATACCCTCTGGACCAACCGTGTAGCAACTTTTTGATAAAAAAAAAGAAAGAAAATGTAAATCATAACTCGAGAGCCTTAAGAGCCATGGCCTTCGCCCCCTCAAACGTCTTATTCCCACCAATAAACCCCGAAGCATGCACAAACACACCGCCCGGAATGCCCGAGATAGCATCCAACTCCTCATCTCTAAAGCCCCTCCAAGCCTCCGGCAAAGCCTTCCTGCTCTCGAACGAGTCCTTGCTGACGGGGACGGCCTGAACCCTCCACTTCGCGCCGGGAACGGGCTTCTCGGGATAAATGACATACACGATAGGTTCGACGTCTCCCTGATCCTTCGCCTCCTCCTCGAGGGTATATAGATGGTCCTTCCAGGGCGCCGAAGAACCCTCGAAGACGAGGACGCGACCCCGCGGGTCAAACTCCTTCCTCTTCTCGAACGCCGTGCGGACGACTTCGCGGGCGGGAAGCCACGCGCGAACGTAGTAGTCTAGATCACGCTCAAATTCCTCGCCGATGCGCTTGCTGGCTGCCAAGAACCGCTCGTCCTCCTGGCGCTGCGCCTCCTCCGGATCAGAGGGCACGGCATCGTTCCAGTTGGGGTTGAGGCGACCGACCATGGCGCCGAGGGAGAAGCCACCGTCAGAGAAGCGCTTGGTTAGGCCCGCAGAGGAGACGGCTTGGGGATCGTAGACAGAGATGCCGTTATCGTGGGCATCGAGGGCCTCGATGAACGATTCGTAGATTTTCTTCCATAGCAGGTCGACCACTTCCGAAGAAGGTTCCGACGAAGAAGTTTCGCGAAGCTTGTTATTGATGACCTGCTTTCCAAAATGTAAAAAGACAAGCCCCGCGCTGGACAGCTTCGTCGGTCGCCCGGGAAAGGTAGTCGTGAAGGTGCGCTGGTGGTGATCGTAGCGGTTAGTCGACGGGTCGTATTCGCCGCCGACGTCGACGACGGTGTGGCATTCGGAGAGGCGGGAAGGGTCGCGCGTGCGGACGAGAGGCGAGGTCGCGTAGGCGGGGAGGAGGCGGAGGATGTGTACGGCTAGGGCTTCGTCGGCGTGGAAGTGGCCGTTGTGGGTGCCGATTGTGGGAGGGGTGCTTTTGAGGCGTTTGGCGGCTGCTTCGGTGGCCATTTTGAGAGTGCGGAACATGCAATGGTTGGATGGGTAAGGGGGAGGGTGTTTTTGGGAGAGAGTGAGGGGGAGAGGGAAGGGAAGAGGAAGATTTTGGGGATGTGGGGGAGGGGTAGTAGGGAAGAGGTAGTAGGGGAGAGGGAGAGAGCTTGATGGACCTAAGCTGGGATTGGGCAATTGGTCAAGTCTGGGCTGTTCTGGGTTGTGGAAAAGGTACAATTTTGTAAATTTCTTTTCTTTTCTTTTTCTTGGAGAGCTGTGAGTTTCTAAAGCTAATATTAGAGTCGAGGATTAAGTTGTTTTCATGAGATTTGAGTTCTGTTGATCGTCACTTCCTTGTCTGATTATTTCCTCGCTCTCTGATTTGGTGAGAATCGAGAAGAGCAAAAGCAAAGGACCAAGATCAAAAATCGAAGATACAAGGTACTTCGTACTTGTCACAAGTCACAAGTACATCTGTACAAGGGACGTCAACTTCTCGTTGGACTGAGTTTTTTTGGTAGCAACTGGTAGTAACTGGCCAGCCTCGTCGAAATTCAGTCGCCCTTTTGCCGTTTTCTGTTCCAATCCCATTTCTCGTCTTTGCTCCAATTCGATTGCTTCTCGTCCACATTCCACATTCCGCGTCCACGGTCCACCATCCACAATCTATTCCCAGCAACTCGGATTTTCTCACCCACCGTCAAAACTCTCTCCTTTTCAACCCTCCTCAGCCCTCCAACGACCCGAATCCCCATGCACGACGCGGCTCATTCATCACCAAACACGCATCATCCTCGATAAGATATCCATCCCCATTCCTATCTCGACGACGACCCCTTTCTTCCTCCCTTACCAATTTCTCAACTCCCCCAAAACCTCGCCGCAAAACCACCATCATCCCACCCTCATCAACAATGGACGACGAATCCCCCACGAAACGCGACACCGCCCACTCCACCCCCTCCACCCCGGCGGCCGATGACACCATCCGCGTCGGGGACAGACAGGCCAACGGCGACAAGAAGATAAAGAAGGAGGGAGGCAGAGGGGGAGAAGATGAAGCGGACGCTGCTGCCGATACTCGCCCCAAGTACCGCTCGTGGAAGAAGAAATGGCGCAAGCTCAGGGTGACGTTTGACCACAAGATGCGCGAGGCGGAAGTTCTTTGGTTGAGTGAGCAGAGGGCCAAGGCGACGATCAAGAGAATAGCAATCGAGAATGAGTTCGTTTTAGCCTCCCCCTTCCCATTTCTATGCCTCGAAAGAAACATATAGAACTAACTCTTTAACACAGTCGTCTCCTCGACCTTCTCACAGACATTAACGAATGTCCCCAAGTTCCCCCCGAAAAACGCATCTCTGTCCCAACCCTCACCCTCCCAACCGAATCCCCCGACTCCCCATCAACAACACCCTCCAAATCCCTCTCCTCCCTCGAATCCGAAGTCCCCCACCTCTCCTACGATCAAGCAAAGGATTCCCTCCCCGACACCCTACAAGATATCACCCCTGCCGCCGGCGAAGACGACCCCGCCACCTTCCTAACTGTCGACGAGATCGAAAATTATCTCTATGAGACTGACCTCCGTCTGGGACTACCGAAGCAAAACAGCCTCGCCCCGGCAGCGAAGGACGGTGCTACTCTTCCCGCTACATCTACGACCAGTGCTGGTCTCCCCCCTTCCTCCACCACGCGTGACTTCCTCATCAAGTACCCCCACAGCGCATACAACTGGCTCAAATCAAACGCCTCCCACGTCTTCCTCCAAGGCGGCGAATCCGCGGCAGCCCATCACCACGACGACGACGAAAGCCACCATCCCCCTGCCAGCGCGGCCCGCAAAAAGGGCGCCTCCAAAGCATCGGCGGCCGAGAAATCATCCAAGCCCTCCTCCAAGGCATCCTCCTCCAAGCGCCAGAGCAAAGCCGATCGCATCCTCGCCGAGCAGCAGCACCAGCACGACCTCTCCATGGGCGAGGACGACGACTACGCCACGCCCGCCGCCGCCAAGAAGAGGAAGAGGGATGATGATGGCGGGTATAGGCCCAAGGGAGGGTCGAGTAGTCGGCCTTCTAAGAAGAAGAGGAAGAGCGATGTGGAGGGGACGCCGCTTGCGGGGAAGAAGAGGAAGGTGGCTGCTGAGGAGTGAGGGAGGTAGTTCTTTTAACGCCCTTTTTTCTTTCTCTTTTCTTGTCGTTTCGTTCCTGTCCTTTTTTATCCAATAAGACCTTTTGGGAAGGGAAAGTGTGTTATATGGTAATTATGTATTATTGCTGAAAAGGAGAGGCGTTTTCTTTGTTTTGCTCTTTTTTCTTTTTCCCTTTTTCTTGCTTTTCCCCCCCTTCTCCGCCCTTCTTTTCTCTCTTGTTATTGGATTATGCTTTTTTGCAGCTTGTTTTCTCTTTACCTTCTTTTTCCGGGAATTAGCATTGACACGACCGGGAGGGCTTTGTTTTATGGACCGGGCTGGGCTGGGATCAAGATGGGGTGGGATAGATGAATTTACTCTCAATTGCCTTGTCATTATCACCAATGCATCACTCGGAAAACAAACCAAGAGCGAAAAGAAGAACCTAGAAGAACGATGCTTGCGTTATGTCTAAATGGTCATTCGCAATTCAAGTAGCTCAAGCAATTCCTCGGCTGTAAACCTCTCCCAGATAAACCTGCTTCAGCCAAGAGCGCTGAAAAGACAGCAAGATACATATACGATGGAAAAAAAAAAAAAAAAATCGAGTTTCCGGTCCAACAAAAAAGGAGTTCTCATATACTGAACTAAATCCGTATCTACATAGAATCTTCGAACCCAGAAAAAAAGAAAGGCCAGCTAGCTAGCCACATACATACATCTCCTCCATCTCCCCATCACAACCAAGAAAGGGAAAAAAGAAAATGCCGCAAAAAATGTGCCCATATCCCAAAGAACAATGTGATAAGAAAAAGAACAAAATGAACCGAAAAGAAAAAGGCCGAACCACTCCCGCATTGCAGAAGCAAAACAAGGGGAAGAAAACAATGAAAAGAGATGTATGCATGCTATGTACTTCCTCCACCCACCCTTTCGGGAAAGAGTTGGAAAAATATCAGAGAGAATATCTAGAGGAAAAACATTATTTCAAGTCTTCCCAACAAGAACCAAAAAAAGAATCCTTCTCTAATATGCCAAGCCAAACGGCCAAAGGAAAGCCTTCTCAGACTTTTTTCTTTGCCGTTGCCATTGATCTCTCAAGTCATCACATATGTCGCTTCAGCTCTCTTTCTTCTTTTTTTTTTCTCCAACTTAAAGCTTGGCGAGGGTATCCTTGAGCCTCTTCTCGACGGCATCGAGGTACTCGTTGGTGGTGACGTAGTCGCTCCTCTCCTTCTTGCCGCAGGCGAGGGCAAGATCCTTGGTCATGATGCCGTCGATGTCGACGGTGTCAATGCAAGCCTGCTCGAGCTTCTGGGCGAACTGGACGAGCTCGGGGGTGCCGTCGAGCTCACCACGCTGGATGAGACCACGGGTCCAGGCGAAGATGGAAGCAATGGGGTTGGTAGAGGTCTCACGGCCCTTCTGGTGCTCACGGTAGTGGCGGGTGACGGTGCCGTGGGCGGCCTCGGACTCGAAGGTCTTGCCGTCGGGGGTGATGAGGACGGAGGTCATGAGACCGAGGGAGCCGAAGCCCTGGGCGACAATGTCGGACTGGACATCGCCGTCGTAGTCTAGACGTATGATATTAGCAACCACGCGGAATTTCGGGGATCGGGCGGGGGTCAGGGGAGGGTCCAGGAGTTCAACTCACTCTTGAGGGCCATGACGTAGCCACCGGAGCTCTTGATCATCTGGGCAACCATGTCGTCGATGAGACGGTGCTCATACCAGATGCCCTTGGCCTCAAAGTCCTTCTTGTACGTGGTGTCGTAAAGCTCCTGGAAGATATCCTTGAAGCGGCCGTCGTACTTCTTGAGAATGGTGTTCTTGGTGCTCATGTAGAGAGGGAGACCCTTGGACAGGGCGAGCTTGAAGCTAGCGTGGGCGAAGCCGGTGATAGACTCGTCCGTGTTGTACTGGGCCTGAGCAACACCACCGCCGTTTTTGAACTCGTAAACGTCGACCTCCTGGGGCTCGCCGTTGACAGGAGTGTACACCAGCTTGAGGGTACCGGGGCCGGGGGCGACGAGGTCCTTGGCGCGGTATTGGTCACCAAAGGCGTGACGGCCAATGATGATGGGCTTCTCCCAGCCGGGGACGAGACGGGGGATGCGGGGGATGACAATGGGCTCACGGAACACGGTGCCGCCGAGGATATTCCGGATGGTACCGTTGGGCGAGAGCCACACTTCGTAGATGTTAGCTATCTCAACAAACGGCGTTTTTTTTTCTCTCTCAATTTTTTTTTTTACTTACCCCACTTCCCGAACGCCAATTGGCCTCGGAGAGGAGGGGCTTGGAGGGGTACAACAACGAAGAAGCCGAAACATCACATACTCTGCTTGAGGTTGAATTCCTTTACACGCGCCTCATCGGGGGTGATGGTAGCGCACTTGACACCGACGGAGTACTTCTGGATGGCCTCAGCGGCGTCGAGGGTGACCTGGTCGTTGGTCTCGTCACGGTACTCGAGGCCGAGATCGTAGTACTTGAGGTCGATGTCGAGGTAAGGGTAGATGAACTTGTCCTTGATGTTCTTCCAGATGATGCGGGTCATCTCGTCCCCGTCGAGCTCGACGACGGGGTTCTTGACCTTGATCTTGCTAGCGATCGCCATGGTTCGTCGTGCTCCGTAGTAGGAGAAGCAGCTGTTAGTGTTGTTGGTGAATCTGTTGTTGGAAGAGTTGTAGTAGTGGGCGGCTGCGGCGAGGGGAGAAGTGGCTGTTGTTCGGAGAGAGGCACGAGCGATACAAACACCGGCAGGCCGGGCGATGATGCGGAGGGAGTTCATGGTGGGCGGCTATGGTATGTATAAGAGGGCTCGCGGTCGACCCCTCCGAGCAGCTGTTGCTTGCTTTGTAAAATGGGAATACCGGCGTATCGGATAAACGCCTATTGCTTTTTCTTTTTCAAACCCGAGGTTAGTGATTTCGAGTCCATCCAATGAATGTCCAGGGCATGTAACACCGAGCCGGGTATGGAGCTATGGAAGGGGGGGGTGGGTGGCAGCGGGTGGGAGGGGCGGGACGTCTTTCGTGGCAGGGCAGAGGGGGGTGAGAGGAACAAACGAAGGAGGGGAGAAAGGGGACCGACTCGGCGGACGCGGCGGTAAGTCTTTGCCAGAGGTGGAGCTTTGCGGCAGATAAGCGGCGCTCCCAGTCCCAGCTCGCTCACTCGTCTTAGGGTCCCCTTCTCCCCTCCCCTCCTCCCCTCTCATCACCTCTCGTCGCCTCTCCCCTCACCCTCGCTACTATCGCGTTTCTCTACTGCCTTCCGCTGTTGCCTGTGTGGGGGGAGGGGCAGCACTGAATCGTGCAAGGGGGGTGGAGGGCCAGACCTCTAGGCAAAGGAGAATTTTGGGACAATAATACACTAAAATGCCTTGATTTGGGAGGTTCGTGGGTGGCTCTGGGTGCGGTGGGTGGAGCCGAGAACGACTCGACGCTGAGGCTTTTGACAACTAGTGGAGTCTCTAGTCGCAAAGGTGCTGCACCAGCTTCTTTCGCACAAAGAGGGGGAAATGAGCCAAGCTGGTAGAGGGGGGAGTGTGTGGGGGCGCGTAGTATGTGATGATCGGAAAGAGGAGAAAACGCAACGGAGAGGAGCGTGATAAAACGATGCGATTGATGCGATTCGACGGGGAAAGGATGGGGGGGCGAGACGCCATACGAACCTGGCTGGGGTGTTGCCTTCTAAGAGGGTCCAGTCCTCTCACAATTCCGAAGCTCGTCGCAGGTTTTAGGAGCTTTGTTGAGGGCTTTCTGCGAAAGGAAACAGAGAGCGAGAGAGAGAGAGGAGAAGGGATAAGAAAAAAAAAAAAAGCCCCGTTCTACCGAGAAAGATTGCCGGGAGACGCAAGGACCGTAGACCGTAGTAACCTTGGTAGTAGTGCTGAGAAGATACGTAATAAGCTCAGCAAAAAATAGTTCGGAAGAGGTTTTAGGATTTTAAGGGTTCGGGGAGCCCGCTCGGGGTTTTGGTAAGGGATATATACCGAAAGGGTTTCGAGGCCCAAACCATCCAAGCGAAAGAGTCATTTTAACTCGGTCTCCGAGGAAATCTTATAAATTGCGTCCGTCCCGCCTACCATCCTGGCTGCCCATCCCGCATCCCGCTCTCGTTTTTTTTTGGATTGGTGGGTGGGTTACTACCAAATTTTGTTAGGCACAAAAAAAGGTTCGAGTTTTTGCCTTTCTGGGGCTTGGACTCGACTGAGAACGTCTGACTTGGCCTTCTGGTTGCTTGGTTACTGGCTGATTTTGGTGGACCAGCCGGGCCGGTCTCCTGGGAAATATGTTCGATTGAGCTGGGTGTTGGCGCCCTTGTTTCCGCGCAGCAGCAAGGGACATTTTTTTTGGTCATCTCTCGAGGTGAATTGCATGCATCCGAAGCCAAATCGGTCGATGACAAGGCCAGATCAGATGTACGTGATATTGAAGAGCGGAGAATTACTTGAGACAGCAACGTAAGACAGTACCTTCCCACTGTGAAGATCAATTATTGCTTCTTCGACTTCTGTCCGAGTCAGTCTCCCCGTCAGACCGAGAACAGAAGCAGCACAGCTCGCTGTCGTAGCCGTAACTGCCCCCCGTCTCCCTCGCCTCGACCTGCAGGCTGCAGGCTTCAGTCTCCAGTCTTGTCAAAGTCCCACCATGCAGTGCAGTCCGCCAATGGAGCTCACGAGTCAAATATGTCGTCAGTGCTTATCTTATGCATCGTTGTGTCATGAGGGAAATTCGGAAGGCACAACAGGCGTGGTGGCGCGGTCGTTACTCGTTACTGGGTTACTTGGGAAGGGTCCCACTGACCGGGCTCCCAGGCAGTACCTTCCTTCCCTGTAACACTCCAGAACTCACCGATGCAGGTTAGTAAACCACGCAGGACAGGGAAGGGGCTAGCAATCGGAATGACCTCATTCCCGAAGACGCTTGGTCTACGTACACTCGTGTGAAGTCCACGATCAAAATGGCAGTCGAAGATGGTTAATCAAAGCATTTTGTAAGCAGGCTTCCTCAACATTTTAGTTCCGCTCGGTCTAGATCGTGCAGAACAGAGAAAACAGAGCGAGATGCTTCGTACTCCCGAAACAACCTCAGATCCTTCGCATCAGCATCGATCAATCCCTCATGCATACAATTGTAACAAGGAGCTCCGTGCGGCTCCAAAGAACAATCCAGAAGACTTGAACCAGAAAGTAACATCATCGATGACGGGGAGCAGTTCACCACCATCATCACCAGCCCCTCCAAACGGTAAAACGAGCGGGGGTTTTCCATCAATTTGAACTTTACCCCTTCCCCGAAAAGTCCCCGCCCTTCCCTCACCAATCCTCATCGATGGCTATCACAGGCTTGCGACGGCAAAAGAAAAAAAAAAAATAGTGACAAGGGAGATGTTGGGATCTGTGGAGAGGGGTACTTCAGGTTACACCACAGCACCATAACGTGCAGAACGCAGCCCGCGCACAGATATTCAATGGGGGGTAGTCACACCACGGACCTACAGGAGGTGCATATCACTGCTTGCGGAGAAGGCTTCCGGCTCGGAGTTCGCATTGCCGGATGTCGGTTTACGAGCAGCGCGGGGAAGAGCTCCTTCGCGGGGAAGCTCTTCCTTGCAATGGGGTCTGAGAATCAATTCACGGAATTTGGGAATTTCTTGCACTCTTGAAGACCAGCAACGATTGCTGAAATATAAGTAAGCATCCTGACCCCGAACAGACTACATCTGATGTACTCATATGTAATCATGGATGTACTCCGTAGGCAATTAGACAATTCCGATTCCGTTGTCCGTTGCAGTTTTGGAGAGCTTCAAATTTGCAAGCAAGCGACGACCCACTTCCATTCCCACTCCTACTCCCGAGTCCTGCCGCAATCGGATCGCTCCTAAAAGCACATTGAATAAAAAATCAAAAAAGGACAACGACCCAAGACCACGGATGTCATTGATATTACCAATTGCTCCACAGCGGATAGGCTCTGTAAGCGGTCCAGTCGTCTCTGTGGCGTTTCGATCTTTAATATTAGCTTAGTGCAAGGACGGCCCAACTATTCCTCCTTGGGCGTTGTGAGGCCTTCAATGCTGCCTTGGCTGGATCCACCATGTTGCAAGCAACGATGTTTAGGTCCCCGTTTCCCTGGAGCCACATTACCCGCTAGCAGTCTCAACTGCATCTTGCGAAAAATGGAAACCCGATGGCAGACACTAAGAGTCCCCGTTTCGGGTTTGGTTGGGGGCAGGGAGCTCTGCGAAGTCTTCCCGTCGTCGCCGACGGCCCCTCCTCAACACGGCAACATGGTTCGGCTTGTCCCCGAAGTCGGCAGTGAAAAGTGGGTTGTGTCTCCCCCCTACAAAATATTCGTTTGATTCTTTTTCTGAATGAGGCTGCGGCTGGCGTTTGTTATTCGAGAGGCCCCTGCCATTCAGGGGAAATATCGAAAACATGTAACTTGGAAAGGAAATAATAAACTTTTATACGAAGAGCTGGTTCGATTCTATGGTCTTATCGAAGGATTACTTATATATTTCCCAATTCCCTGGAGCAAGCCCTCCCAGACTGGCTCTGGCCAGCCAGGCCAGGCCAAGAAACATGGTCGACGATGCCTGATCCCCTTGTCCGCGCTAGCAACCCATGGTTGCCGCATTTCCCCGGCACGCCTCAACGTCGGATGAACATGGTTTCTCCGAAAGATTGTGGATTGCCGTGGTCTCATTTCTGTCACGACAGACCGAGCATTTCAGTCCTGTAAATGCGTGGATTTCTTACACGAGGGCCACAATCGCACCATTTTCAAATTACCGGAAGTTCAAAAGTACGAGGCACAGATGCATCAGGAAGAGGACAACATTGATCATATTTTTGCGATGACAAAGGCATCGGCGGGAGAACAGTAATTCCGAGAAGGAGATACGTACACGTTCTCCTCGCAACGTTTAGAAGCAACGTTTGAATGTCGTCATCCCGAAGATGTAGCGAGCTTGAGATTTCCCAGGTCGGCAATTGCAACGTCCTGAACCCGTCTGACTAAGATGCCTAGTCTCGATGCAATGTCGAGAACAATTGAATGAGGCACCTCGACTTTCCCCTCCATCAACCCAATATCACATTCACTTTCCAAGCGCAGTCCACAATTGGAACGAATGAGCCTCGCCTCGTCTCTAACTTGCTTCCAAATCACCTCCCCTCCCTCCCACCACACGCATAAAGAACCCTCCCCCCTCCCCCAACATACTAACAGAAAAAGCAGCAACCTCAAACACTTATCCCCTTAACCCCTTGCACGCTCGCCAGCCAACACCTTCCCTTTCCCGCAATTAGTCCTAAACCCTTCCAAGATAAAAATAGAAACCCCGCTGGCCGAGAAGGGAAAAATTAGCCTTGATAATTCCCCTGCCCTCAGAAAATCCCATTTGCTCAGTGATCTACTTCCAGCATGGATTTCCTTACAATAAGACGAAGCCACGACATGGGAATTGGGGAGAAAAAATGTTTGGGAAAGGATCCATCTCCCCAAACGACTGAAACCCCCAGACACATTTTCCCTTTCCCTGCTCATAATTCAGTCCTATTATCGCATACAAAACTCATGCCATGTGTGCGACCCTCCGCCGAAAGACCTTCTAGAAGCAGATCGGAGAAACTACCCGATTGGCCTGTTTCGAGGGAGGGGGTGAGTTGAGGGGTGAATCATAAGGTGTGTTCCTCCGTTCCTGCCCGCTTTTCGGCACTGGTGGGTGTTCCGTTGTTGGTCCTGGCAGTTGGTTTTTTTTTTTCTTCCCCGCCCCCATCCCGGTTCCGTTGGTTCAGGCCGGGAACGGACCTAGTGTAAGAGATGAACAATAAGAATAAAAGAATGGGAAAATTAAGTCGCTGGTCGAGTCCAAAAAGCACCGTCCTCCGTAAGATTTCGTGAAACCTCTTCCATAATGTAAAGGATGTAGATGACGTCGCAACCCACACACATGCTGCATAGGAACCAGACAGCCACACTTATATGCATATAGCTTTTGAAATACTCAAATGTCGCGTTACTTAATACATCACATCTGCAAGCCGATATGCAGCAAAGGCTGGATGATGCGCGACGGACACACATGCGCCCCCAATCCAGTCAAGCTCGTCGTTTCAGACAAGGTCCAACATCCGCAAGCTACGTAAGCTCACGACGAATGCCTGGGGGGGAGCTATATGAAACTCTTCACGAATATCAATCGGTTTAGACTTACACCGATTGTCAAGGGTGACGTCGCTTGGTAGATGACAATGTTAACGAATGTCTATTCAAGAAGACTTTTTGGGAAAAGCTACAATAACTAAGAGGAAGAGTGAAAGAATGAAAAAGAAAAAAAAAGTCGCGTCTAAATAATACATAGAGAGTTGACTGACGAACAAGCCGTAAGAATAACCTTGCAGTATCGATAGTCAAACTCGAGGAAAAGAAGCCACACCCCCTAAAGATCCAACACCATCTATCAAAAAATGTGATAGAAGAAAAAGGTTGTAGGCTGGATATGCCTCAATCGAAAGCACCGGTCAGAAAGAAGGAGGAAGGTAGGAGATGGAATCAAGAAATGCAAGAGCTGGGAAATATGCAAGTCATCATAATATCCGTGTACTTCATCAGTTCGCCGTCACTTTTTCGAGGACTCTTCATCCGGTTGTACTCGAGATGTCTTGCAATCAGGACACTCGAATCCATGAGTCGCAACCATGACTCTGCGCAGACATCTCGTACACCTCCACCACTCCTTTCTACCACTGTTGCCCTCGGACCAATTCGTCTGGATGGGCTTGCCGCGCTTCGCTATGCTCTCCTTGTGGTAGTCGCGCAAATGGTCGCGGAAATGGTCTCGGCGATGGAACGGGGAGCTCCGCCGGCTGCATTTCGCATAATCGCAATGGTACGTCTCTTTGGACTCTGCGGGGCGGTGTATATTCTTGTAATGCCGGTCGAGATCGGCGTTGCGTTTGAACGGTACTGCCTTGCAGCCCGGAACAAGGCAGCAGTACCCATCTGAGGGTTTGTGTCTGCATTAACATGTTAGTCTATTTCCAAAGTCACAGTCCCCCTTCTCTAGGCACACGTCCGTCTTTCTCGCCTCGCCCTCTCGTCTTTGGGATTTCACGTACTTGGAAATGTCAGTGGAAGACCCTTCCCCGGTCTGTGTGTAGTAGCTTTGTCCACCTTCGCTCACGGTGTAGCCTTGGCTCCCCCCTTCCCCTGTGGAGTCTTCGCCACTACTGAGAGCATAAGAAGAGGCTTCGTCTTGGTACATTGTTCTAGAATATCCACCAATCCACGATGGTGATGACGGAGAAACTGGTGGCGAGAAAAAGGTAGACCTTGGGGCCCCAGCTTCGCCAGGACCACTGATACCCTTCTCTGGCTGATGGCGATGATGTCCGCGATGTAGAGGGTAAGGAAAGGGAGCAGAACTGCTGAGTTGCTGATCATATAGTAGAGGACTTCCCTCTAGGTTAGAGGACAACCGTTCTGCAATGGTTATTGAGGGTTGGATAACATTAGCCGACGCAGCTTCTTCATGAATTGGCTGGAGCTGATTTCTTCGCATGGGACAGGTGGGAAGGTGTGCGCTAAGGTAATTGCGCGGCAGTTAAAGCTGAGGTTGCAGAATCTCTGTCGCAGCTGTATTGACGTGCGAAGACTAGAGTTTATTTCTGGTGAGAAATCTATGAGAGTCAAGGGATTTGTTAGGCTTCCATGTAGATGCAGAAGAGATTCTCGAAATATAAGCGCATCATATACGCAATAGGAAATCATGGCAAAATTCAAGAGCCAGTTGATTCGAGAACAGGCGCAACTTACCAAAAAGGAAGTACAGCAGGCAGGGCTTGTGAGGCTTGTGGTAGCCAGATATTGAGGTTTGCAAGAAAATGGTGACTGTAGTGCCGTAGGGCCCAAACTAATCGGGCAAGTCAAATTTGGAGGGAGTGTATGTGGAGAGTTGGGTCGGATGGAGGGCTCAGGATCTCGAAGGGGCGAGCGAATAACAAGAAGAGAGGGCGTGCAGGGACCGGGGGAATATACAAAAAGCTCATCGGTGGTACGCCAGACAGGATTCACCAAGGCTGGTAGCGTGGAGTATCACTTCTTTTGCGGACCCACGTAGTGCTCTCGAGGCCGTATCGGCATGCAGCGCACCAAACACTCACACTATCTTGGCCAAGGTTGTTACACCTTTGCTCAAAGTGAGGCGGGCTGTTCTGGGATATCCCGGAAGGAATGGGACGAGTGAACTCCGAAGAGGATCCCACGCTGGGATATGGGTCGGATGAGCAAGAAGCGAGGAAAGGCAGGGCGGGATGACAGGATCTTATGTATTAACACGAATTCCAATGAAGTCGAGGTTCCGGGGTTCGGTTCCAAGAATAGGATCATGTAAGTCGATCATCGGCATAAGAGAAGAAGCATCACCACTACCGATGATTCAAGGGTTGTACGGGGGCGAGACCAGGGCCAAGAAACAAGTGGCCGTGAGCTGGTATGCGGGCCGACTCGAACTAGAAACGAAAAGGATTCCTCCTAGCCAACGAAGAACTTCGATGTGACGAGCTCAGGGAAGCCAGCGTGAAATGAGGGTTTTCGATATAAAACACGGGGAGCTGCGAGTAGACGAAGAGGTGTTAACCTCATCTAGATCCCTGCCAGATCCACCATGGTGCCGATGGACAATGCCTGTCAAAACAGGCTCATCCATGCCTCGTGTAGAGGAGGGAAGCAGGAACAGTCCGTGGCTGCGCACAAACAACCAAACGCATGACGGAAGAGTGTACTAGAGTTCCACGGCGAATTGGGTGGATCATCAGGGAGGTTGAAAGTGGACAACACCTCGGCTGTGGCAAGGGATGAAGCGAAGGCTAATGGCAATCTAGGTGGTGTGGGGGGAAGGGTTCGTCTTGTCGTCAGTGCTCGAGGATCTTCACCAGGGAGACAGGGAGAGGCGCATGTTGCAGAAGGAGCTGCAAATAGAATAGAGGGAGGCCGTGATGGCCAAAGAGGGAAATAAGGAACGAAGCCGCTAGCAAGGTCTAGGCCACGAATTGGGGGATGGTGGGTAAAAGCGTCGTTGCATCGATGATCAGTGGAGTTTGGCGGTTTACGCATGCTTCTGATACAAGCAGAAGGTGTTTGATGATAACATATCGATGGTATTTCAGTAATAGCACGCACTCAATTGCAGATAGAGGAGGGTTAAGGGCTGTGAGAAGCCCAATGATCTCCCGCACCTGCCCAGGCTAGTGGGACAGTGACGCAACTCGAAATCATTGTAAACGTAGCCCCGGTCAGAACTACTGGCTGTGAAGACGCCTCAGCTCAAGTATCAATACGATTCTGGAGGTAAGAGGCAAGGGGCAAAGGGGCGGTACTTTCTACTACATGGAGGCTTGTGAGCAGAAATGGATCGAGTGGGTGCTTCTCGAGTCATACCTCGTACCTGAACAGGGGTGTCCTTAGCTTGTTTTATGTGCGTGTCGCGACTACCCACCCCCCCCCCCCCCCCCCAAAGTAACGACATACCCCGAAACAGAGCAGGATTGTTCTTGCCTTGAATGTATTAATTACCTCACGCCGACCTCGAAAAGTCCCAAGCACATAGCACAGCATTGATGGCATATGACTAGATTCACCAATCTTAACGTTACCGATTAAGGTACGACTTGAAAATTTTGAACTTACCTTATTGCCGGATCTATTTGAGGGGGGCGGGGAGGACATGGAAGCTGTTGGAGCCTGTGGCAGTCGTCGAGGTCATGAGGGTCCAACTTGAACTAGTGCTAGGCGGTGTTGTTTGAGTACACGTAAGTGCAGTGGAAGGATCAGACGAGCTGAATTATGCAACGAGGCAGGATGAATCGATGATAGGCCACGCCAGAATGTCTATGAGAACCATTCGAACCACATTGGCGCTTGCCGTCACCTGAACGAGCTGACGGCAGCGTGATAGCTTGCGGCGCGTTTGTCCTGGTTTGAGGCTGATTGTGACTTGAGGTAGCTACGGAGCCTACAACTCGGCAAGCGCACTCTACTCGCCAGTGCTGTTGGTCCGGGTCCCGCCCAGTCCAGCCGTCCTCACCCACATGCTCTTGCCCAACAGTATCATATTGTCCTCTGAACAAGTACGCAACCGTTCGATATGGTAGTAGCGAGGCAAGAACACACCAACGGCCCCAAATAAGGTGGAGTCCTGTGGCTTGGAAGCAGGTTTGAACCAGAGCATTGTCCTGTTAAGGTCAACTCCCTACATTGGAATTCCACACATGTGATGTGGGGATTGAGCGGGTCAAAGTGTGACCATTATGGATCCTCTTGGTGACACATCCGGGGAGCACTTACAAGCACTGACAACAGAGAGAGGGAGAAGAAATAGGCTCTACGCCACCCAGCTTTTGCATTGTTTTAAAGAACCTCCATTTCATCTGCTGTCGCGTGACAAATTCGCGCTTGTAAAGGACTCCCTCGCCAGAGCAGCTGGCGATGTACAGGAACATGCCTCTCCTGAGGAAGGAGCGCTCGCTGGGGTGACCTCGCAAGTTCATCAAAGCGTCTGCGAAGTAGCCGAGCCAGATCTATTCGGAAGCAACTAGCGGACTGTAAAACGTGCCGTTCTCCACCCTTATCAACCATCCCTGATAATAACTGAAACCACGTGGAAATAGACCTGGGTTGTCCTTCCGTCTTTTTTTAGTCTTTTAGCTTTGACTTATCGAGAGAAGCTACATACGAGAGTGCCTAGGCTCGGAGGGAAGGCCTGGTGGACAGCAGTAGTCTCGACCTCGCTCTGATGGGATGTGGGATGTGCGTGGAGTGGAAATCGAGCCGAGTCAAGACTTGTAACTTGTAACGTCAACTGCTGGCCTCAAGTTGTTTTACAGTTATACCCGCAACACTTTTGAAATGCAATTGGTCATAGATATCTAATATATTCGAGACTTGAACTGGGAGCACACTACCGTCATTGTGTTTGGGCTCATCGTTGCAAAGACAATTCAACCAATGGCCCCTTTGGGTCTCTCCGTCCTTCGAGATCACCCACGTCGAAGCCAAGCCAGCCCCTTTCCAGCGGCCTGTTGAAAAGACACTAACCTGGCGATCAAGCAGGGAGTCCACCGGCTCTTAGACACCAAGAATAGAATGAGGGTATTTTCACCTCGCCTCGACTTGCACGAAGTCCAAACCTTATTGTCCCCGAAGCCGAGGGCACGAAATTGGACCAATAGAATTCGCCCTTTTCGTCATCGGATGTACGAAGTACCCCTGAAGCGGGTGGTTTTCCGTGAGCCTGGGAACCAGCAGGAACAATGAGGAAAACTGTGAACGTGCGAACACACCGACACACACCCCCTCGCTGTTTTCCTCCCCCCCTTTCCCATTGCTGCCAGGACTGGCGGCCCCACCCATGTTTCCGGAGCCGCGAGTTACTAAAAATACAACAAGTGATGCGACAGTTTGATCTGCGACAAGGGAGGACATGCAAGTTGCGTTTTCTTCTTTTTCTTTGAAATCCCAGACCACTTCTCGGGTATAGTTACCCTCTCACGAGATGTCTCTCTTCCTTTCCCTTGGGAAGCCCCAAGGCTTTGGAAATCGCCAAGGCGTGAATGACGAGTGTACTAACCTCCTTGGGGCTTGAACGTGCAAGAAAGGCTGCAATTGAACCCGTGAGCAATCATGCTTGCCGCATCTGGGGCTGCTTTAGCCGAGTTGCTGGGCCTGAGGTGGCATCCTACTGGGCCAGGTTCAAGGATTCTGGTGCCAGCCCTACCTGGGCCGTCGTCATATTACTCGATTGGGAAATTATGTGATGAGGCCCAGAGATGGGTCTTGGTTGGAGTGGGTGCGAACATCAACGAACGCTTTGGTGATTCACATCGAGATACAGGGACGGCATCGTTTGGCTGTTAACTGCCGGAGAGTCAGTGCACTTGCGCGTTGCGTGTCTTAAAATAGGATCGCTAAGGAAACGACGGAAACTCTCCCCGCGCCCGTTCGACTTCTTGGTGTGGGATAGGAACACTGACCGAAACAGAAGACGCAAAGGAGGCAAGAGACAAGAGGGGAAGAAAATCCAGAGAGTAGGCCGGGGACAGCAAGTGGACGTCCAAGCAGAGATTGCCATTCGCTTCCCCTTCCTCGCCTCGTTACGAAGTACGTCCAACACTCATGACCGCATTTTGCTTGGCTTGTTTCTGCCTGGCTCCGTCGATCCTGCACGAGCGTCACTCTAGAACTGACAAACTGAACAACCTTCCAAATCATCTATACTGATGTTTACTCGAAACTCGGCTGCTTCTTCTCTTTTCTTAGTTTCAACATCGGCGCATGACGTCGCCACCCACACCTCTTACACCCTAACCGAAGCCGGCAGATGGGGCCCTCGTTCCGCTCCCGTCGCTGGAAAAAAAACCACCCCTCTGATGATTGACGACTCGGGGTGCGAACCGTTATCTCCGTCCCCATGATTGATCGCCCCATCTCGTCAAACAGTCCACGCCAAGGAGAATCTCTTCCTCCAAAGTCTTTGATATATAGAATGGATAGGTACATGGCTCACGATTGGCGATCTCGATCTGCTTCGTTTCCGGCAAGGGTCTGCGCCACCCCCAGCTTCGTAGTACCGAGCTTCAAGTCTACGAGCGTGGGGCTTTTATTCTTTCTCTTTTTTATTTTATTTTATTTTTCGGTGAGCCTGGTAAAATCCCCCACCACATTGTTTCTGTAATTGCGGATAAAAGGGTACATACGCGTTATGTTTCGGATCACCGAAAGTGTTTGCTCGTTGAGGCGTTGAGGTGGCACATTGGCTTACACTGAGACACCCCGAAGGCAGAGGCACGCTTGTGCCCATCTACACCGTACTGCCAACTCTCCAAACACGCCATTGCACTTCGGATCGATACCGTAGAAGGCGAGATACAAGGACGTCATCGAACAAACCTCCGGATGTGCTTCGCATCAGCTTGTGCAGCTCACCAGTTTCCCTTTGCCTCGAGAGTCGGCCGAAGACAGGGTTGATTGCTGTTTTGATGCCATTCCCTCTACAATGACAGTAACAGAGAGAGACCCGGGATGGGGCGTGATGCAAAGGTGGGCGTGATAACTCGTTTGTCTTTCGCCCTGTGCGAGGCGTAGGTTGGCAAACCGAGAAGGCCGGATCGTCGGCGGCATTTTGGGCAGAAATGACGGGAGATGAGAGAAAAGCTTGAGTAGTCCTTCACTTTCGAATTTTGGAATGCTAACAGGACCCCAGGCTGTTGTTGGGCGTCAAAATCGAGGGCTTCAGGAAATAGTCAAGGATCATCGAGGTTGGTGGTTTAGGTCGGTGCGAAGAGGTTGCGACATCACTCCTCCTGCCCTGGCGGACCGAAGATCTCAACCTAATTGCCCGTTTGCTTTTGTTTCCTTCTGCTTTCGTACTTGTTAGTCTTGCCAAGGTATTCCTATTCCGGGATTGGACGTCTTGATGCTTCGCATCTGCCGTTCCTTTGATCCGAGAGGCTCGGCCATCCTCTACTGAACCACGCCCAGGATATATGTTGCAAAGGGGCTACATACCTCGAGGAAAACAATCAATTCCTAGATTGGAAAGGAAGGAACCGGGTTCATGGGAGGTGAAGAAGCAAAAAGTCCTCAAATGACCTCCCACGCCCGAGATGTCGAACTCAGGGCGACTGTCTGTTGAGATGAGGCTTACATCCAGAGCCAACAGAATTTGATCAAGGATCGCCACCAAGCGCCTCATTTCTCCTCCTCCAACGTAACCTACGCAAACCACCATCCCAACCATCCCATCCTGTCTACTACTCCTCAAATCCCCTGTCTTCCAAGGGAAAGGAAAATAACAATCACACAAAGGTCAAGTAGTTCAAAGTACTGCCCGGAAAAAGAAGAGTTTAGTGAGCTCCATGAAAGAATTTGTATTCATCCGTTCGTTTCCCCAAGGTAAAAAGAGAATTCCCGAATAACCCCTTCCCTTGAAACGACCAGGCTACCAAAATAGAGAGAGAGATAGATAGATAGAGAGATAACAAAGCTTTCAACAAACCAGTCCCACAGAGAAAGGAGGTACCACAACTTCTCAGGATAAGAGAGAAGAAACAAAACACAAAACAAAAACGAGGAAGATTGATACACTTTCTTAAACACTACGCACCCAGAAACCATTCAGGGTGGGTGGGTTATCGGGCAAACAAAACACCTCCTTTCCCTTTCCCTCTGAGGGGAGACGCGAAAAACAAAAGAGGAGCACCGGGTTGGAAAAAAAAGAAGGTTGAAATCAAGAGGGCTACGGGTTCATTCCCTCGTCGATCTCGCGTGATTATGGAATTCTCATTGTAGGTAATCCGATCAAGGATATGGGGGGACCTTCGCAAATATAGAGAGACTTGCGAACATGAGCGGCGTGCGCGTCTTGATTATATGTCGTCCTCGAGGAATTTATACGCAAACTTAAAGTCTGCTTTCCGTCGGTTCATCCTGTCAAACACAAACACCGTCAGCAAACTCGTTTTAAGTGTGTGAGGTGAAAGAAACAAAAACTTACCATGTGCTCTCATAGTCAAAGAAGCGATAGGTCCCCTGCTCAAACTCCTCCGTAATGCTCTTCGGCTCCTCATGCCTCTGGAACCAAGTCTGATACTGCTTATGAAACCTCCAGCTCTGGTCCTTCAGCGCCTTGGCGGCCAGATACTGCTGATGCGTCCCTTGCTTGTAGTAGAAGACGTAGAAGAGCGTGTCCTGGTCGATCTTCCCGTAGAGCCGCGGGTCGTCGAAGATGGGCAGCGGCGTCTGCGGGAAGGTCGAGTAGGGTAAGGGTAGGCGGGAATCGGGCCGGTAGGTGCGCGGGAGGTCGGCGTCGGTGGCGTCGGGGGCCGTGGCTTGGGACATGGCGAGCATGCGCATGGAGGCGGGGGAGGCGGCCGGCGCGGGGCGCTTCCGCGAGAGCTCGTAGGACTCGAGGAGGTCGTTTAGGCAGGCGGGAAGGTGGAAGCGGGATTCTTCTTCGGCTTCTTCTTCGATGGGCTTGATTCCGTTGACGCCGTTGACGTGGGGTGCTGGAGCTAAGTTGCGTTAGTACAGAGGGGGGAAAGCATAGACAAGGTGGAGTAGAAGGAGATGAAAGAGCATACCCTTGACTGGCTCGGCCGGAGCCTTTCCAGCCGCACGAGAAGGCTTCGTAGTCTCCTTTTGCGAGCTCGCCGCGGCGACTGGTACAGGAGTTGCCTTTATCGAAGCTGGCGTGTGGCCCGCACTCGAGCTTCCCTGACTTTGCGCCGCCTGTGCCTGATACACCGAGCTCGACGCAGGTTGCGCCATCATCAAGGCAGGTGAGCTAGCAGCGCTAGATCTCGCCTGCTGCGCCGCAGAGGGCAGAGGGCTGATGCCGACATTGACGGGTACTCCCGCCGCATTGGGTGGAGGCGGTAACGGCGCAATACCGACGTTGTTCTTGTCGCTCGCCGCAGCGGCGGCGGCAGCAGAGGCGTACTTGAGCCCTTCGCCGGGCGGTCTTGTCGGTAACGCCGCAGGCTTCATGGGTAGAGAGCCAGATGCGCCCGCACCACCCGATGGTATGGGAGTATGTAACGTCGCGAGTGTTGGTAACGGAGATTTGAGTTGCGTCGACGGACGACGACCGGTTGCGTTCGCGATGGCGCTCTCGGCGGCGGTTCTGGGCTTTCCGGTGATTTTCGGCTCGAATTCAGATGCCAAGTCATCTTGTATAGACCTCGTGTCCTCGGTCGAGCCCTTCTCGTTATCCAGATTCATGCCGTAGACGTCCTCCTCATGATCGAGGTTGAGGTCGATGTACATCTCCTCATCCTCCATAAAGTCCTCGTTCATGCCGTCGGAGACGTAGTACCGGATGGATTCCTCAATATCCTTCACCTGCTCGGTCTCGAGATTGCCGTTCTCCAAAAGACGCCGGACCAGTTCGAGTTTTCCCTGGTGCCACTTATGCCTCTCGATTATTCGCTCAATCTCGGCCACTCGCTCGGCCTTGTCCCTGTTGGCCTTGCCCTTCTTCATCGTCGCTTGTATCGACTCGCTTTCGGCTTCCAGGGATTCTACTTGGTGTTCGAGCTCGTCGACCATGTTTCCGAGGAACTCGCAGGTTTCCACCTTGGCTTGTTCTTTGGGATCGAGCTTGGCCGCCGCTGACAGGCCTTCTTTCGAGTAGGCTTTCGTCTTCATTGCTTTTTCAACAGCCTTGAACTTTTCCATTTGCTGCAGTAGGGGGTGAAATCACTTGTCAGTAAACAGTAAAAAAAAATTCCCCGCCAAAAAGAGAGGTCGCGGTTTAGGTTGCTGAGAGTCCCCTCTCCCTGAATAAGGGCATACCGTTTCTATAAGCTTCCGGTTCTCCATCAAGCGGTCCTTATCCTTGACGTCGTTACTAGCCGCCCATGTCTTGATTTGATCCCGCAAACGCTGCAGCTTCTTGATTTCACGTTTTAGCTGGTCCTCAAGCTTCTCCTTTTGGGCTGGGTTATTCGACTGTTCAATCTTTTCGTAGATGGAGTTGAACTCTTCCACTCCCTCCGCTACCTTCTTGTAGCACTTCTCCACCTCCTGCATCAGCTTCCGTGACGCCATTGTGTCGGTAGTGGGTTTAGGTTTTCTCTAGTTTGAGAATCGCGCGGATATTTCGTTGGGTAGGCGACGGCGAATTTTGGCAGCAGCAAAATTCGCGTACGGTAAAGAGAATCCTGGAGGTAGGCAGGTTGGTCCAAATATTAGATATGGATTTGGTAACAGTTTCGTAATGATGGAAGAAGGGAGGGGGGTTTGATATCGAGTTCCGTCGTCGTGGGGTGGTCGGGCAGGAGCAGGAGGGTAGCGATGTGGTTCGACGACGAGCGAGATGTCCGCCAACTTACCTTCTAGATATTCGTGTTTCGGATCGGGATGATAGGCACCATCAAAGTGGTCGCAATGCCACAGGATGGGGATGGGGGCGGCCCAGGCAGCTAGGGTCGAAAACGACGAGGGCAAGCTCGCAAGGTTTCTCACAGTCGGCAGCAGGCCGAGGTATCGCGTTGGGGGCGGTATTCGATCGACAATCGTACAAGCCAGTCGAGATTACTGGCAGGAGGGGGGAAAAAAGGCTCGATATCGGCGGGGTCGAAGCGCTGAGAACCAGCTGATCGTTCGTTGGCTCAGCTTGGGTGGTGATGGATTGGATGGAGGTTGCTGATGCTGTCACGTTTCTGACGGACGGCGTCCGAAGCTGATGCGGTTGGAAGTGGAAGGTTAAAAAGCGCGAGCCGCAGGATTAAGGTGAAGTCTCCAGAGGTAGATGTATCACGTGAATTCTAAGGACTAATAGTGCGAGAGGCCCCCTAATGAGAGAATTGTGTGGGCCAAATAACTGGGATTCAACAAACTTTATCTGCTTCATGTGGGAGGAACTTTACGAGTACCTCTTGGCAAAATCTTGGCATTGCCTTTCTGCCGCCCTGCGCCGCCACACAAGGAACTTGCATAATTTATATAGACAAAGTACTTCGTAAATATGGCGCACTACGAAGTACATTAAAATCCAAGCACAACCTGGGGTGCATAAAGCATAAAGCGAGTACCAGGCGCTTAACTCTGCCTGAAGTTCTGGACCAGATTATCCTTTGGCTCCTGGAGGCTACTATGAGTAGTAATGAAATATATGGGATGCTGTGTTCTCTTTTGACCGTATTTCTGTGGCCGAATTTTGTTTGATCCCTTTTTTTTTTTCCCTTGCTTTTTTTTAATAGTAAGAATTCCTTCCGTGAGGAGCCTCCCTGCTCTTGAAGCTCCGTCTAATTTCCGGCCGAAGTTTGGCTGCGACGTTTCTTGATACCGATTCTGGTGCTCAGTTGAGCCTCTTGATTGGCTTCTCAACGGCGATTGTGAGACGGGAAAAACGCCCGGCGGCAAAGAAAGCAAGAAAATGAAAGGTGAGTTTGATACGGGCCATCCAAATGACATTTCTTCTTTTTCTTTTCTTTTTACTGACCAATTAGATAGCCATAATACAACGGGTGCTGTCGGCATCCGTGACGGTGGACAAGGAGGTTGTGTCCTCTATCGGCAAGGGCATACTTGTGCTTGCCGCCGTCGGTGTCGGGGATACCGAGAAGGAGGCCGACAGCTTAGCGGCCAAGGTGTTGAAGCTGAAGATTTGGGATGGCGAGAATGGTTCTAGGGTATGGGACTGAAAGAGACCGGGCGGTTCGAGGGAATCGGTTCCAAATATTTCTTTTTCTCTTTTCTGACAAGTGATATTATTCGACAGTGGAAGAGAAGCGTGACTGAGATCGAGGGAGAGATACTCTGCGGTATGGCGACCTTGAAGATCCGTTTATCCGGCTCTGCGCTAACTCTTCTGCCTCGCGGCAGTCTCCCAATTCACACTACTCGCCAAGACGTCCAAAGGCAACAAGCCCGACTTCCACCAGGCGGCGCCGGGAGAAGAGGCGAAGCGACTTTATCACTACTTCCTTGAGAAAGTGAAGGCGGGGTACGTGGCGGAGCGGGTCAAGGACGGCAGGTTCCAGGCTATGATGGAGGTGGCCTTGGTGAATGACGGGCCGGTGAGTGTTTTTCTCTCTTGAGGAAGCGGGATTTCCTGGAGCTTTTGTAACTGACATGATGCCGTTTCCATTTGTTGTTTAGGTCACGTTCGAGGTAGTCGTGCAGCCCAAGGGCGTTGAGGAGCCGCAGTAGAGATGAGCCAATACGTTGGATACGAGCCTGAGGCTGGGGGAGAAAACAAGTATAAAGAGATGAAGCATTAACTTTGGCGAGTGAGGGCGTAGTGGTCTATAGAGGATAGCTTGACGAAGTATGTCGACTATTAGGCATTGCACGGCCAACTAACAATATTCGGATGGTGCTCTCCTCCCCTTAGAGGCACTCGTCACTCATAGTGGCGATGTAAACCATTAAGGAAAAGAGCTTCATCCATTATCCACACCTCCCGCGCCTTCCTCGGCACATCTAGGCCCCCACCATGATATCCTTTAAATACGAGTCTATGGCAAGAACGCCCAACCGAGCAGCTTAAGCACCAACACTGCGAGCAAATGGCCAAGCGGTCAGTTGCAACGCTCAGAAAGTTAGAAAAAAGCATTTTTTTCGTAGCTACGTGTCCAGCGGGGAATTGCTTCGTTCGAAGTCCAACCAGAGCAGCGTATGCGATCTTTTGCTTTTTTTTTTTTTTTTTTTTTTTTTTTTTTTTTTTCCCCTTCCTCTTCTTGTAATAATAGTTGGTGATATTAACTACTTTCGAGAGGTTTATGGTTCGAATCTACACTTTTCACTTCATTTCCCCCCCCTCCTCCTGTGCTCCTGACCGTTCCCTTAGGGTATGCGAGGCTGGACTGTCCTAACAGTTGTCTTAGTCCGAGCCTGATGGTAGTCCTAAGCGAGATTCTAATGGCTGGGGAATGAAATATATTACTTCGAGGTTTATATTGAGTGGGAGGTAGGCAAAGCGTGGGCTCCTTAGCCTCTTTAAGATCTATGCACGGAAATTAAGTTGCCTCACTTGGCTGGCTCCGGCGCACAGCATTCCAAGAACTGACCATTCTATCCGTCAGCGACCTGACCTGACCTGACTGGCCAACTTTGAGTATCGCACCAGACTTGGATGATATTGAGTACAAAGTACTTGGCGGTTGAAGGTGATAAGTCGCAAGTGGATAGAGCTGTTAGTTTCTTCGTACTTCGTTCCTTCGTTGTCCTTCCTGCTTGTCTGAACCAAGACGATGAAGTCGAGGTTGAGCTTGCCCGTTCAAGTTGCCTATGGATCTACCCCTTATTTCCACATTGGCCGCCACCCGCCAATCAAATCGCCCAATTGCCAATCAGCCAACTGTTCCTCTCCAAAGCCCCGCCGCAGCCTGCCCGCGCCCCAGAATTGGATTTTGGACGGCTCCTGCCTGCAGCTGTCTCACACACATTCTCACCAAAACAGCTAGAAGCTTCCATGTGAAGCCAAAGCCCCGCTGCGACAAAGCAACACAGATTCCTGTTGCACTTCCAAATCCGCATCCAAAACATTCCAACTGCATTTCTGCTCCAGGCGACCCAGGAATTTATACGTCCTCCAGCTCCCAGTCCTCAGCTCCAGGCTGCTAAACATCCTTCTCTCCCTCGATTGTCTCCTCCAGAGCATCTCAATCGAGCGTACCTGATCTCCACTTAGCTCTTACAACCCCTCATCTCTTCTCACCCCACCATCTCTCTCCAACTGCCTCTCCCAAGACGCCCGCAGCTTATTATATATAGATATAAGCTGTTTTCCACCCTTCCCAAACATACTATATACTATTACCACTCTCAATTGACCCTCTCAAAATGTCTTCCCACGTCTTCTTCGACATCACCATCGGCGACCGCCCCGCCGGCCGCATCATCATGCGTCTCTACACCTCCGTGACGCCCAAGACGGCCGAAAACTTCCGCGCCCTCTGCACCGGCGAGAAGGGCAACGGCAAGGCCGGCAAGCCGCTGCACTACAAGGGCTCGACCTTCCACCGCGTCATCAAGAGCTTCATGATCCAGGGCGGCGACTTCACCCAGGGCAACGGCACGGGCGGCGAGTCGATCTACGGGGAGAAGTTTGCGGATGAGAACTTTGAGATTAAGCATACCAGGCCTTTCTTGCTTTCCATGGCCAACGCTGGACCGGGTAAGTACTCTTAAGATCTCGCCCTCTTTCTCAAATATAATCACTTCTTCTAACAAATGTGACAAACAGGCACCAATGGCTCGCAATTCTTCATCACCACCGTCCCAACCCCCCACCTCGACGGCAAACACGTCGTCTTCGGCGAAGTCCTCCGCGGCAAATCCATCGTCCGCAAGATCGAAAACCTGCGCACCAACCCCGACGACCGCCCCGAGAAACCCGTCGTCATCGCAGACTGCGGCGAGCTCACCGAGGCCGAAGCCGAAGCGGCGGCCGACGACGCAGCCACCTCCGCCGTCGCCGACGCCTACGGCGACAGGTACCAAGATTACCCGGACGACCTGCCCGACTCGCCCTCGGCGACTGAGATTCTCAGGATCGCTACGGATTGCAAGGGCTATGGCACGGCGGCCCTGAAGAAGGGAGACTTGCCGGCGGCGATAGACAAGTATGAAAAGGCTCTGCGTTACCTCAACGAGGACCCGGACCTCTCCAAGGAGCCGGAGAAGACGGGCCAGGAACTTGACAAGCTCCGCTTCGCGCTGCATAATAACCTCGCCTTCGTGCACCTCAAGCTCGAGGCCTGGTCCGACGTCATCGCGTCGGCAACCAGCGCCCTTAACATGCGCGACCCCAGCGGCGAGGTCATCACCTCCGGCGACAGGACCAAGGCCCTCTACCGGAGGGGTCTCGCCTACTTGAACCGTAAGGACGAGGAAAGCGCTCTTAGGGATTTGACCGAGGCGAAAAAGCTTTCGCCGAATGATGCGGTGGTTGCGAAGGAGTATGCTGCGTTGAAGAAGAGGAGCGATGACAAGGATAAGAAGATGAATGCCGCTTACAAGAAGTTTTTCGCGGATTAGAAGTGGAGGAGAAAGGGAGGAGGGTCAGAGAATGGCGAGGTTGATAGATGGATATATACAACTGGAGTCAAGGAAAGGAGGAAATTATTCAGGTTTTTATCCAGGAGTTTTTTCAATCGTCTATACTTCTTTATCGCAAGATAGGAAAAAAAAATTGAATAAAAATATGACATCAAAGAGAAAGTAACAAAATCTACCTCAAATCCAGCTCCTCGGGATGTAAGTCGAAACCCTTGATTCCGAGTACGGCGTGAGAAGGGAATCAAGTATCTTCCCCATTGGATAGACTCCATCTGCTCATGAATCAAAGGCCTTGCTCGATGTGTTTTTTCTAGGATTCGGTTGCTCTTTGGCCGTGCCGCTTGTCATCTCTCTATTCCATCTTCGGGATGAAGATAAAAGGGGAAGAAGAGAGGGAAAGATAAGAGTGGTAGTTTGAAGTGGTATTCACAAATCATCAATCCATCCATACGTACATACATCCCATACACTTGTTCGTCCTCCCCCATCTCACTAACATACAATACAATCCGCCTCTATTCACCTCATCCGCTCGCCTCATCATCACAACCCATCCCATCAATCCTCAGAGTCCCCATTACAACCACGGAAAACTTCAATCGGTTTCAAGAAAACATGTAAAAGCTTTAAAAAAAATGGGAGAAGAGAAAGAATAGGGCCGCCCAAAACCCCCCGACCCAATCTCTATATGATAATCATCAGAGTTGGAAAAAAAGAAATCAAAGTAAACATCCTCCCCCATGAACAAAACAGTCAAACGTCAATCAAATGACGCCCCAATCCCTCCCCCGAAAGAAACAAAAACTACCTCTCCTTGGTAAGTCTAGAACCAGAACCACTTCCAGGCGCCGAATCAGGTGAATCGCTCCTGCCCATCCTCATAATCCCCGATAAAATCCCCCTCGTAACCCGTCCGTTCCGGCTGGATCTCAGGGTCCCCGAGCCGACCTCCGAGGCCGCCGAAGCCTGTCTCGTTGTCCTGCCCCTCCTCTCCCGCGCGCCTCCCTCGATGACGTCGCTACCCGCCGATCCGGGTGGCCGTAGGCTAGCAGCAGGACCACTACTGCCGCCTAGTGTACCGCCGTTGCCGATTCCCATCGCCTCGGAAAAATCCCAATGCGATGAGGACACCGACGATGAGAATACCGCTGAAGCCGTCTCTATGCCGGCGCCGGCGCCACCACCACCACCACCTGTAGACGAAGAAGCCTGTGTCGCAAAGGAGCTCTTGACTACGCTATCTATCAACGAGGTGTGACCAAGCCCTTCGGCGAGTTCATCCGTCGTGATGACAGACGAAGCAGAAGCTACAGCCGCTGCGGCTGCCGTGGCCGTGGCCGTCGCCGTAGAAGTAGCTTGCGGTCCGGCTTCTCTCTCTCGGATCGACTCAACGCGCGCAAAGCACTCGTCCGAACGCTGCTGAAGGTCATGGCACACATCGTTGAAAATCAACAAATCGCCATCGGGTAGGGGGGGTGCGTCCACGGCATTGGGCGATAACGTGTTACTCTGCGCCGCCGCGGCCGTGGTCGTTCCGCTCTTAATTGCGTAGTGTGCTAAGGGGTTGGCATTGACCCAGAGGCGCACTAGCCCGGCGAAATTGCGCGACTGGTCGATGAGGTACGGCAGAGAGGGGAAGCCTTCTCGTGAGATGGGCGAAAGCCGGCCCTGGATCGTCACGGGAGTAGAGTAAGACGCGGGCACGGGGTTTGTGCTACGCTCGGCGGGTATGGAGCAGACGTGATCGATAAAGTCCTTGACGGCCTGTCGATGTGAGTTCAAAAACTTGTTCATCGGCTCCATCCAACTCTCCTTCTGGCCAAAAGTCGTCAAGTTGGCCAGTGCCTGCAGCGACTTCGCGACCAGAGTCAGTGTACGCTGCGCCCTCGGACGCGGGTGGTCTCGCAAGAGGCCAAAGAGCTTGGGACTGAGAATGGCCGGACAGATGAAGCGGAGAAAGAGGAAACCGGAAACACTCGTAAAGGAAACGGTGCGGAGGAAGTCGCCGTACCGGTCTTCCGCCACGGCGCGGATGTACTTTAGGATGTGCCGCAGTTCGGGTGGTAGGCGGTTCGCCGAGGCCGCGATGCAATCCCACACTTCCGTCGTCAGCTGAATCAGCTGATTCCAGTGCTGCTGTATGCTATCGCCATCCTGAATCCGGCTAGGGTCCACCTCGCAATCGGGGTTGATCTCGTTGATCTCGAAAACCTTGTCGAGCAGCACGTCCTCGAGGTACTCCTTGCCGAGACGCCGCATGTGGAACTCGAGAGACTGCGTCAGTAACGAATTGCCGCGGAACAGCAGGTTCGCCTCGCCCGTGAGCGACTTGCTCATATCGCGCACAATCTGCTCCCGGTCGCTTGCCGAGTCCAGAGAATCGCTAGACCGCAACCGTCTGCTAAACCTGTACTTCTTGATAGGTGCCTGGTTCCCGATGCCGTCGATCTCGTCCTCTACGAGGGCCATGAGCCACTCGCTCGCCGAACCCGATGCCTGGAAGATGTTGAGAAACAGCTCGGACAGCCGCCGGAGGCTGGTCGGCATAACGTCTGCGATTTGGGCCGTGAGCCCTGACGGGAAGCGGTGAAGAATCTCGGAGAGCGGTTGGTACTCTTTCGAGAGTAAGACGACGAGCTCTTCGTGGTGGACCTTTACAAACATGGTGCCCAGAATCTGCTGCTTATCATCGAGGATCGGTAGCCACTCCTCGTGATCCTTGCCGCACTCTAGTTCATCGAGGGGAATGTCGACGGCTCCGCAAAGGACCTCCGTTAGGTTTCCGGTCTTGGGAAGGCCCATTGACGCCTGCAACTGATGCGTCACACTCTCGAGGTTGCCTTCGACCTTCTTCAGAACCACCGACAGGTACGGGAAGCTCGGCGGCAAATCGTAAAACTCGCAGTCCTCCCTCCAGAACGGGTTCTTCGTCTGCGTCTTGGTCGTCGTGCGGGCGCGTACTTCCCCGTCGAGGATAACCTCGGCTAGATAATTGCCCACGAGGGTCTCCTGCGACTCGACGCGCCGCAACGGGCCGAGCTCCATGAGAGGATTTCCCTGGGGGCGCATTTTAGCCTCCGTCACGCGCAGGCAGAGCGACTTTTCGATCCGGAACACGCCGTCTAGTTCGCTCGACTTGGGATCCAACATCTCCACCACACCGTCCTTGCTCGACGGGTCGAGCCGGTAGATATCCGGGACCGCAAAGGCTCGGAGGAGGACGAACCAAACCTCGAAGTGCACTCTCGTATCGAGCGCGACGTACACAGGGCGAAAGATGGAGAGCTGGGTAGATGTCGACGAGTATATGGGGAAGATGGCGATGCAGTACTCTTCGTCTAGCACTGTCCGGTCCAACTTTTGTATAGAACAGCGAGATAGTTGCGACAGCTCAATGACGGAGAGAATAGAGCTATCCGTCTCGGTCAGGAGCTTCAGCTCGCCGTTGTCTTGTAGGATACACGATACTCTCCTCCATGACGTAGCAGGCGACCTCAAGTCCCTAGTAGAGGGACGTTTGACGATGGCACGAGGTGATGTGGCGAGTCCCTTGTCCCACAGCATCACTTTGCCGACCTTGATGATGCTAGCGCCTCTCGAGGGGCCGTTAGACGACGTGCGCCGCCTGAGCTCAGGCCGCGAAGGCGTGGCTGGACTCGTGGGCTTCCCGTTATTCGGCAGACCGCCGCCTACGGGTCTTAATTGTTGCCAGCAAAGCAGGGCGGCCAGCCACAGGTCCATCTCTTCATGGGCCAGGGGTTTAAGAATCAGATCAATAGGAGGAGTAGTAGTAGTGGTAGCAGCGACGACTTCGAGACAGTCATATCTGCCCTTCTCTTGACAGTCGATGGGAAGTACCCGGCAACCGCGGAGATCGGGAATCAGCGGCGCGAGGAAGGGGCCATCGTGGCCGGTATCCACCATCAGGGCGCCTTTCTCCTCTTCGATATAGGCCATACCCGCTTGCCATGGCCCTGAGGGTTCGAGCTGGAACTCGACATCGCCTCGCATACGTCCACACAGGCTCTTCATCAGTAATAATATCTTGTTTGCATCCTCGGTAGGTATGGGAAGCGGTAGCGAGTCGACGGAGGGAGGTGGGGATATTAGAGGCGACGTGGGTCGGGATGTCTGACGCTTAATAAGTCTGCGGGCGGACAGCTTCTTGTCCTTTAGCTGGGCCTTGAGCGATTGATCGGTTGACCCCGACCCCAAATCAGGCTGCCGATTGGGTATGATGGATGGGAAGCCCAGGGACTCGAGAGGAGGTGGGGGATTCCGCAGATCGTCTAGATGATGTTGAGAGGTGGCCGAAGAGAAAGAGCCGATTCTCCGGCGGCTATCGGAAGCAGTCATCGAGGCGGCAGAGGCCTGCCTAACGCTGCCAGCCTCCATGGTGTAAGTCCTCTGCCTAGGAGGAAGCCGCGGAGGAGGCGGACTGGAGGATAGGGTAGCGGCGCTCGAGGCAGAGGTCGCCGCGTTAGTCTCCTCGGAGGACCGGTCAAAGGCGTCGTTGAAGACTATGCCTTGGCGTCTGGCAGGTCCCCCTGGAAGAGACCTCGGGGAGGCCTGGGGAGAAAGGGTTGCAAGACCGGGACGCGGCCTGTGTAATATGACGCCGGATTCCGTAGACGATGCAGGGCCCGATGTGGAGCCGGGGGCGGAAGGATCGGAAGGGGCGGTAGAAGGGTGTTGGTGTTGGCGTTGGTGTTGGTAGTGGTGGGTGCCGAAAGCGGTTGTGATAGTGGCTGCGGTAGTGGCTGCTGCGGCGGGCGCGGTCGCATGTTCGATGGGCTCAGGTGTCACGGCCCGAATGGTGGCCTGCGCAGGAACAGCTGACCTGTCAAAGGTCGACCGCGAGTTGGTGGCGGAAGTCATAGGTTTATCCATAGGCCGCGATAGGGGCGGCTGGGGCGATTGGATGTCGGGTGGTGGAGGAGCGGGATGGCGCGACCAATCGATAACTGAGGAGTTTAGTG